TCTATCAGAGATTGTCTGTTGTTAGAAAAAAGATATGATTATTAGTTATATGGAAAGATATTTGTTGAGTATCAGACCTAGGTATGAAAGAAGGTTTTATGTTAGCATCTCTTACTTTCTGTACTTGACATGGATTCTCTAGCAGTTATTATTTTCCCCTCAATGAGTGCTACTTCAAAGAACGTCGTTTTCCACTGTAGTAGCATAGCAAGGTTATTTTTGGCATAATCAAGGTAAGGTTCTCTTTAAATAGTATGTTACTCACTTGAAATAACCTATACCACATGAAATGTTTCCGAGCCATTTCCATATTTTACGCATTTTACGATCTTTGATATACTGAGTAGAAAAACATAACTTACTTCTTCTGAGAATAATTTTCTTCATTCAGAATAACAGATTTATCCCATTAAAGGGACATGAATGATATTCTTTTGTTTATGCATTTGGGTTCTTACTGTTACTGGTCTGTTTAGTGAATGAGAGTTGAATGTGACCATGGTTTTTAATCAAGAAATTGTTATTAAACTTTTTCATTCAAAACAAAAAGATTTTGAGATGATCAAATAATTGTTTGCTTTAATCCAGGCCCTGAATATTCTCTATCCTGACAAGGCTGAAAACACTGATTTACTTATATTTTCACTTATTAACCAAAATGGATATTGTCATATCGACCTTATTTCCTAATTTGCAAGCATCTTGGAAAGATTTAGCCTATTTTACAAGAACATAATCGAACTATACCGAGTCACTAGCTTCAATATACTGGACTGAAAAGATGAAGTAATTAGGAAAATCAATTGCTGGTTCTACAAAATCAGGTTTTATCGGTCTACTAATTTAATAGCATGGTTCACATGCCTTTAGAACTTGATAAGTCAGTCACCTTAAATTAGATATCTTTGATGGAACCATGGCTTTCCAAAGTAAATAAAAAGTAGGTATCACCACTTGTTAAACAAAATGGTTATATTTACCCCATGTAAAAAGATGTTTATAGCCTTGAACAAGACATATCAAAGACATTTCCTAATGTTTATCTTCGTGTACAAAGCTGAAGAAATTAAATTGATCCATTAGATATTTGTTTGTGTACCTATTCAAAGGCATAGCCAGGTTTCAGCCAGAGGGGGAAGTGCGATTGGCAAAAAAACTTTGGTTTTCACTCAGCATTTTAAAGCTCTTCTTTTTCTATCTCATGGTTTTTTTTATTTGTCCTGGCGGGGGGGGGGGGGGCTGCGATGGGTGTGATCGCTACACCTATGCTATTGCTAAGCCAGGATATGCTAAGAACTTGTTGGAATCCCTTGTAAAACCATGGAACATAGAATTATAGAATTACATCCACATAAACAATTATACGAGTACATCATTCTGATGTTCATAGCGTTTCTCCTACTGTGCATCACAGGAGGGCAGAGATAGAGAAGGCGTGCCTCACCATGATGCATATACATGTACTGTACATGGGCCGGGTGGGGGGCTTACTTATGGAAATAGGTAACGTGCTGTTAACAAGAATATATTGTTAGACTTTTAACATTGTGAAAGATCACAGCCTTTCTTTGCAGGCAGAGCTGGTCTATGAGTATCAGACTGGATAACTGATGGAGCAGCAGCACTATGAATCTACAAAAGGTTCTTTTTGGAAATCATGGTCAGGTGAATGTACCTGGATTTGAAATAGTTTCAAGGAAACCCATACTGGATAACATGACAGCTGGAAGGCCATGACCACTGGCCATCAATATTGCAGTTGTTCATAAGATGTACCATTCCTTGGGATCATCTTATCTTACCACATGCCTATCTGTTCTGTTGTAGCTTATAATTAAAACAAATCACCAAGGCAACATTGCTAACCAAACCCCCATTTCTGGCTATTTCCCTTTCCTAAAATGTTATCCTTGTCTTGCAAAGTTCTCATCTTTTCTCAACAAAATGTGACTTTTGTTTTTATGTTATTGTATTGTAGAAACCTTTGGATCATGAATACATGCTGAATGACTTGATTCCCCGCTTATCATTCTCATTTCATCTCTATTTTTCTTTAAAGATCTGATCACCAATGTAACTTATGTCTGGGTTTGGTGTACCTAGAGAAGTATCCTGCAATCAACTCCCTGACTCTAAACATTCAGTTAGAACTGACCACAGAAAGTAAAGCATTGATAAGAATACAGCATTCATATTTTTCATAATACATGCAAAAATCATAGATTTTTAAAGGATTTTCATGAGAACAAAGTACATATCGAGACTGACCCCATAAGGATAGCAACAAGTGTTCATTGGTTTGAAGTATGTGGAGATATTCCAGTTACAAGAGTTTTATGGGATGGTATCTATGATTCAGCAGACATAAAAGACATAAGTCAAGTGATTTTACTGTTGGAAACTTGTGCAATATAGCTCAAGTACAAGTCTTGAAAAGCATCAAAAGCAAGGGATGGTTATTTGTTGAAGAAGTTCTAACTTTGGATGCTGATGCTGAAATACATTGACTTTGTTTTGATGTTTAGTAACATATAGTTTATTTTACTTTGCATACCAAGAGTCAAAAGTGGTTATAAAAACATTGTTTAAGATCATACATTAGTCTGTCAGATACCAGCTTAGTAACATTATATAATAAGCCTGACTGATAATACGTAGTATATAAAAGCTTATTGATATCTGAGGAAAGAGACAACATGAAGAAAATGAGGAGATTCTTTAGGAAACGTTTTAAAAGTAAGTAGTACTTTGTAATCCTATAGGCTTTAACTCTCTTTTTAAAGCCCATGGTAATGATGCAACCGAGGATGCAACATTTGAAACAGTCAGCTTTTTAGAACTCTTCAAAGCCCATGAAACTGTATATACTGTATAAACTATATTTAACAACATCCTTTTGATTGTGTTGCAAGACTGAGAGTATCAGAGATTTGTTTCAAAATAATTCATCTTAATTTTAGAATTGTTTGGGCTCATATCACTCCTTGCCATGGTTATTTCTGTTCTCGATCCAGGCAAATATATTTTAACATTTAAAGAATCATTTTTCTGTTAATATTTCAACTAATTCACATTTCACATTTTTCATTTGACATATTATATGATGACTCAAGACTTTCTTTTTGTTACATCTACAGAGACTTTAACCTTTATATATATTTTAATAGCCAAGTTAAGGTTTTTCAAATCTTAAAGTACATGTTATAATGATTACTTTATGGTGAGCTAATGCTTTTTAATGATATCTCTTTAAAATTGAAACTGTTCTCTTTATATCAAGTCTATTAGAGTTAAAGTATTAACATATGCATATGGCTGTAGGTAATGCAGACTTAACATTTATGGGACCTAAAGCACCAGTGGCAAGTTCTAACTGTATGTAAATGATGTGTACTATTGTAAAGAACAACACCAGTAATTAACATGCTAATTGATATAGCCTTAAAACATGTATTGCACCAAACAATTTGCAGTGTTGAACATTATATTTTAGTGTAGAAAACACTTTGATATAGACAATAGGGATTATAAGTCATTTTTATATGTTTCATGGAGAAATAATAGACAAAAAGGGCATTCTCAAATCAGGAAAACCAAATTTAAACCTATAAGGTTACAATATATTAAAGGTAGGTCGACAGTGTTCTTGATTTATCATGGAGTAAGCTATTTGGAAAAGAAAGAACTTATTGTGTACTTCTTAATTAGATCTACAGTAACACTGATTTGAAGAGGAACATGGTGTTTTATGTGGTTTTCTGGTCTGAAATGTCTTGATATTTAGAATCGCTTCTCAGTTATACTTGTTTTAGTCAGCATTGACTGAATGGCTTTTGACTATTCATAAAGGCATCGAATTTAAGAAAATCATTTTGTGATTTAAATTAAAGGGGCACCTATTTGACACCCTGTATCTTACCCCCTCCCCACTCATTCAGCCCATTTGGGAGACATAATATATGTGATATCAAAACCAGGTCTGACTCCAGAAAATATAAATATAAATAGGAGTTTCCTGTTGTTATCAAACAAGTTGTGGTTTTGCATGTCTGGGACATAAATATTTATAGATGTATGGGGTATGTTTGTAAACTTCTAGATTGATGCTTGGCATTGAAATAGCAAGTGTTCCAGAAGAATAATAAATCAAGAAATAGATTTTGAGGTCAATCAGGAAGTAAGTACATAATTTTCTTTCTTCAATTTATGTCATTCATTTTTCTTGATCAAACTTTGTAAGGTTCCGCTTCCCTCTCCCTTCCACTAGCAGTTCGTGTTTGAGGAATATATGTCCAAGAAGTATGTAATCACTGGGAGATCCAGAAGCCAACAAGGGGGGGGGGCACATTTCAAATTTGCTAAACATTTTGAACATTTAAGGCCAATTTTTGGAAAATTTGCCCTTAGAAGGCCAAGTAATGCCCAAAAAGGCCCACTTATTGAGGCCATACAAATTGAAATGTTTTTTTTCTAACCATCATTGCTATCTTCTACATAGCATAACCATTTTCAATAGGTTGATTTGGCTACTTGAAAAGACAATTATGCCTATTAAAGATATCTATCAACCTCTAGGTAACTTAACATCTGTGGCAGAAATAGAGAGGAGGAGCTCATGATATTTTCAGTTTTGGAGCTTTAGCACATATTACATAAATAAACTATATTTCAGTTGTTTACTGGAAGAAATAAAGTTATTGATTTTTTAATCGATTGATTGGGTGATTGACTGATTGATTGGTTGATTGCCTTGGTAATACATTCCTTACAAACTATGTCACTTATCTGAATATAAGGACTCTATGGATACTTATCTATAACCTTTGATCTTTCACCCAACTTAGAATGCAGGATTATTTATTTTATAGCCTACTATAGAACTACTGCATGGTAAGTTATCGCTACTTCAATGTTATTTCTGTATGTTTTTGTTTTTGATATTATTCAGAAGGTTGATATGATTGCTATCACGTTCACATTCATTTATGATTGATTCTTTATACTTCAATTAGCTATATATGATAATGTTAATTTGATCATCTTATGCAACAATATGACATCCAGTTCTTTAACAATGGATAAATTTATGATAAACACAGTGTCAGGTAAGTCAATATGTCATCCATGTGACATCTAAGAGTCAATAAAAGTTATACAATAGGAGGGTACTTGGCAGTCTTGTTACCCTGCGTGCAGAGTCTAGTTAAACTACACTCTGCCTAGTAGAGACCATATTACAGTTTAGTAGCTTATCCCCCACGACGGGTACCGGTGACAGTTTGGGTAAAATTGACATACGCGCTGACCTTTCTTCCACCAATCAGCGAGCTTGATGAAACATACACCAAATGCGTTCTAATTAAATATGCGTGTGTCATTGGTCAATTCCGGGCTCAACGATGACGTCAGAAGGAATGACCATATATAGAACGTCAATCAAATTTGGCCGACGAACACTGATTGGTGCGGTGAGTTCACAGGTTTATTTTAGTTTGAAAGAGTGAAGACGAAGCTCTCTTTGAAGAAGTGAAGTCAAACGAATGCAAAGGGTACAGTCTTGTCAATTGTTCTACATCATCAGACTTTCAAGAAAACTTAGGATATGAAAGGACTGGGTTCATCAGTTGTTTTTTCCTTTAACATTATTATAAAAAAATTATTGACTCGTGAGATCACATCCTCTGAACGCAGTGCTCCAGACATCATCTTCTACGTTCCTTCCTCCTTCCAAGAACAGGGTAGGATTTCTGGAGGCCTGTGCTCGGAGGATGATGAGATCAATTTGTATTTCCATATACAGAATAGAGTAAAAGCTATCTGAAGTGAATATCTTTGGAGCTGGCTAGAATGTCATACAAAGATTATCTGACATCCTTCAAGGCTCCAGAACTAATACATGTACATGTACCTCGTACTGGAAGAAGGAAGGAATATAGTTGTTGATGTTTAGAACCATGCTTTCAAATGATAGTATATGACCAGGTCCATTCTGATACTTAATGAATTTTTCTGTTTTCAAACTATCACCTAGAAAGGAACTGATAGGAACTGGGATCTCTCAAAATGGGTTAGGGCATCGGAAATTAGAATGGAGACAAAGTGTTCACATTTTAAGTTGTCCTGAGAAAGGTGTCCATATATATTTTACACATATTAATTTTAGTTGATGAAACACTGCATATCATTGCACTAGACGGCTTTCAATATTCCTTCTTTTAGTTGTCCTCCTGCTTAGTCCTTATCAGGCTATATACATAAATTCCAAATTTAGTGAAGCTAAAGGTCATCCCTCAGTTATGTCAGTTCATTTAATATCAACTCATTCTCTCATATCAACAATTACCTTTTTCTGAAGAATTGAAAATTTAGTTTTGTTTTCAAAATAAAGATCAGTGGCATTCAGGGTTCTCTAAATCAATTATCAGACATCATGTATCTCTATGTGTGTTGTATGTGAATCAAACAAAACTGTGAAGTGTTGATGTTTTACTGAAGGGGCTTTGTAAAGGGCACACTTTTGCACTCAAAAGTAAAAAACAACCTGCCTTTATATTGTTATGAGAACACTTCAAAAGAATATAGTACAATGTACTTGGCAAGTAGAACTATGCAAAGGTCCATGTGCAGTATGGCAAGTGATTTTAGACGGTCATATCTTTCACCATGGATACTTTCTGGCCATCAATACAGTGGTTTTTATTAAAACAATATGTTTTCTTTCATCTGAAGTCTCCATGAAAGTAAAATATCGATCTAACTCTCTGAAAAATTATAGATTGGGACCCCACGTTGGCACTTATTTAAAAATGTTAGGCTCATTTTTTATCAAACATATCAAAAGTTTCTTCTATACTATATTAACAATTTCTTAAAAGGGGATGCATATTGAAATCTGTTAAAGTTAAAAATCACATATCCCATGTTATTTTCTCATAGGGAAAACACGTGCTATCCATTGTTTTCAGCATAATTTTGGTCATCGAAAATTGATATCTTCCAAACTAGACTTTCAATACCATTCACCTTTTGAAGATGTTTTAGACCCCTTGTTGAATAATCTTTTCATGCAATAAAAAAACAGAAAAAGAAGATCCTCTTTTGAGTAAATAGGTTCAATATTGTTCAACATTCATAATTTTTTGAATTGTTCGATTGAAATTTTTATCATCATGATTACTTCACTTGAAGGATAACATATTGTTTTAATAAGAACCACTGTATTTATGCCCAGAAAGTAGTCATGGTTATAGAAATGACCTAAATGTCTAAATGTCTAAAATCACTTGCCATACTGCACATGGACCTTTGCTATACTAGCTAACTTATAGCAATTGCTCATTGCCAAGAATTACTTATAGTCTTATGCAAGACTAAAGGAATGTTAATTGTTTAAAGAACTTTATTTATAATTAATCAAACTCTTCAGTTATGTAAATAAAAGGGCAGAACTGTTCATTTGTTTCTTAAGAATTATATTATGAATAACATTATTGTTTCTCAAGTAGGAATGTTTCTTTGAGTTAAAATTCTGAGTTATTGTTTAATTTACCATAATATCATATTTCTAACATATTACTGAATTCATACATTATATACTGAGATTTGATTTATATTATTCAAGAACTTACCATTCTAATAAATGTAGTTTGAAATCATTTTGCATCTTTAAAACAATCTTCTTTGGGCCTTAATGGTCTGTTTCTGGAACTGTTGTGACTCTTGTTCTTCTAAATATAGACAGACCAGGCCCGTAGCCAGGGAGGGGGGTTCGGGGGGTTGGGCTGGCTGCGGGCCTGCAGACCTCATGATAACAAAAACTTGGACCTTTTTATACCAAATATAAAAAATACTGTTTTTTAAAAAAAGTTAAATACATGTAATAGGTGATTTCTCTATATTTGCTTTCAGATTTTCATGTTGATTATTTGATTTGGTTTACCATACACATAACTATGTAATATGTTTCGCATTTAAGACATAATTAGACTTATGTTTTGAAAGGTAAAGCTCCACCCTTCAAGCTTCATAGGTTTAAATGATGACTTGTGCTCTCTGTATGAGATAGTTCTGCCTTGGGAATGCCAGCCTGTTTAGCATCAAGGAAGAGATATAGCCCCAGGGGTGGATCTAGTTTTTTGGTTAGGTATCAGCAGTTCTATACTGAAGGCCAAGGGGCATCCAATTAAGGGGTGGTGTAAAGAATGAATTTCAAAATTTCTATGATTTTAGATAAAAGTTGATATAGGAGAGATAATAGTTGGGGAAATAAAAAATATTTATGTAATTCAAGTCTAAATCTACCACTGAACTTTTTGGATTTAGCTGAAAGTTCATTACTGTAACATAGAGTTAAAGATCAAGTCAAAAATGTCTGGTATTCATGGTTTACATTTATCATACTATTCTAAAGGGTTTACCTCTAATATTTGTTCTATGCAGAGTGTAATAATTACTATTAACCTCTGGCTCAGGGTAATCCTGGCCTAGTGTTACAGACAGATGTGTGAGAGAACATTTCAGTATCATCTTGATGAGCTGGGAAAATATCCATTGTGGAGTGAAGATGCTACTCTAAAGCACAGACACAAGAAGAAATTGTCAAATTACCATGATCAGAGGTGCATTGCAGGGGCAGATCTTGAAACCAACAAGGGGGGGGAGCAAATTTCAGGCCAGAGAAAAAAAATTGGGCCTCTTAAACCCAAAAGTAGACCCAAATTTTGAAATTTTGAGGCCTATTTACTTCAACTTTTGGCCTGAAATTAAAAATAAGGCCTTAAAAGGCCCAGTAATGCCCAAAAATTAGTTTTCTGGGCCCGTCCAAGGGGGGCAGCCCCCCCCAGATCAGCCAGTGCATTGTTGATGGTACATGGAATAATTGATACATTCCCTGGGTTCTGTGCATTGTACTGTCTCATCTACCTGTAACTATCATCAGATACTCTGATTTCAGGTCTAACTTCTTGTCAACACATTCTGGTGAATGTTTCCAAGCCTTCATCTGTCAACATGTTCATCAGGTTTCCTGTAAATGATTAACAATATGTTTTAATACAGGAAGACTTTATCTTATAAATACACTTGGGATACTCCACCAGGGGACATGTCTCTTCTGGTTATCTGATTATTGTTAATGTATGGGATTAAATAACCTGAAATCTTGAGAATATAAATGTTATGGAAAGTTCTATTTAGGTAGTTTTCTATATAGAAAAGATTGAGTTATTAAGAGGTGTTAACTTAGCCAGGGTATGCTATATTGAAATGTTCAAAAATAGTCAATCACTTAGTAATTTGGTTTTGATATGTCAGGATGTTTGAATTCTGTTGATAGATGGGTTTAAGAGCAACTTGTTTACTGGAATGGTTATTTATCAATTATACTTGTCCTTACAAGGCCATATTGATTGGAAACCACTCAATAAATGGGTCAAAAGAGAACATATCAATAGTAGCATAGAACCATTTGAGATGGCCTTTCTTGCGTGCATCTATCTATTTGAGAGAATATGGTATAATGTTTATTGAATCTGTTCCCGATAGTTGCTCACCAAGTAAGCAGGCATGTTTTTAATGTCATTAAGGCATGTCATTAATAGTTTTTAATATTTACAAGTTTTCCTCATTTTTGTGAGTGTTACTGTTCTTTACTCCTTCTACTCAAGTAGCATTGTAACTAGTATAATATTGAACTTTTATATCCATATATTATATCCATTATTTAATTTATAGATGAGATTGTGATTGATATGACAACTATTTGTCTATTTGCAAGGATGAATATGTTAATGAGTTTCACTCTAGTATTAAGGAATATAGCTCCTTAAAATTTTATTCAAAAATCAAGAAACACACTAATTTAGAGAACTACCTGAAACAAAACAATGACTTCTATGGATCAAAGCTCAAATTCTTAGCAAGATGTAACAAATTTGCTCTATATTCCAATTATGAATCACAAAGAAAGACAGATGGAAAATGCATATTATGTAAAGATAATGTAGATGACTCTATCCAACACAGACTTGTAGAATGTTCTTTCTTTAACAAAGAAAGAACACACTTCTATTGTAAGTTACTAGACAAATGCAATGAGAATGTGTTT